GCATCAAAGCCCAAATCCATTTTTTAGTCTGAATGTTTTGATGTAACTCTCTGGAGTCGATTCACTCTTAACTGCTTCTTCAGCAAACGGTGTCAGCATGCTGCGCAATTCAGCATCGGAACCCTTACATTTTGGTCACAGGTCTTGTTCAAAATTCCCACAAAGTGCAGTGTTGCAATTGAGTCTCAAAAGTATTTTCAACTCAGGAGAAAGCTTCTGTTTCAGCTGCCAGGTTGAGCTGACTCCTCTTTGAGATTTGTCTAGTCGTAGCTGTTGTATAATTTACAGGTTGCCTGGATTCTGCAGCTTCCCATTGGAGAACAGGATTAATAAGTAATTGTTTGCAGCGCCGCTGCTGCCCTCTGGCGGATCCAACTGGCAAGCCCGGCAAGCGTCACCGCCATCGCATTTAGCTCATATGAAAGCCCTCATTCTAAAATAATCTACCATAAAACAAAACAAAACAAAGATTTATTTACTTTGTAGGCATGGTTGTTTTGTCTGCATGTATGCAAGGACATCACGTGCGTGCTTGTTGCAAGTTGAGGTTGGAAGAGGGAGTCAGATCCCCTGGAACTGGAGCTACAAACGGTTGTGAGTTGCTTTGTGCGTGCTGGGAACCGAACTTTGCTCCTTTGAAAGTGCAGTAAGCGGTCTTGACTACTGAGACATTGCTCCGTTGCTTCAGACCTTATTTATTTATTTATTTATTTATTTATTTATTTATTTATTTATTTATGGCATTGTCTCCTTAGGAAATAGATCAGCTACAGGCTGCGACCACGTGACTGTAGGTGACTCATCTGGTCACCTAGAGTCACATGAACGGGACAAAATACTCATCAGTGTATTTTTCTTGTTTTTCAGTCGAGGCCATTACTTTAATTTTCCCATAAGACAGAAGCAGCCACGTTCTCTTGAAAAAAAAATCTATGTTCGTTCTACTGATATGCATATATATTTTATGCCAATCATCTTGTTTGCAATGATGCTTCAGAAATAATTTCTAAATGCTTGAAAAAAAGATCGAAGACATTATTATTTTCAGAGATAATGTATAGATGGGCGGGTTGCATCTGATGAACCCGCGTAGTGTAATCTGCTCAAAACGCCTGCAATTTCTACCTCTAATCCTTTTTAGCATTCCCTATTAATCCGTAATATAACTGCTGGGATGTATTATACATTTATCTCCAGGAGCACAGGTGGTGCTCAATACCTGCTTTCTAAATACAAGCAGCAGTAGATGCAGCAAACCGCCTGAAGAAAGCAGGAGCGCTCAACCGAAGCGACCGCGAGTCTACAAGCGAGAGGCGGGGCGACCGGCGAATGGCAGGAGGACGGGCGAGAGGATTTGCCTTGGGTGAAAGGCGGGGCGACGGGCAGGAGGTGTGGCGACGGGCGAGAGGCGGGGCGACGGGTGGGAGGGTGGGACCACAGCAGAAAGGCAATGAGCGCGGCGGGAGGGCGGGGCGAACTGAGGAAGGCAGGTTGATAGGTGGATAACAGGCGAGTGGGCGGGACCAAGGGCGGGACCCTAAAAATACGCAAGTAACGGCCGGTGTTAAGAGTGGCTGAGCAAGGCTAGTGCGCATGCGTGGCTCGTTTGAATTTTTTTTTTTTCCCCTTGTACGTCGGTCGCTGCTTTTTATTTAGGGCCGAGGCTTAAGTGCCGGTCGGCGGCTCTTGGGAAGCCTCGGTCCGCAATCTAACTCTAGCTGGGCGGCCTTTAACCCTCCTGGAACCCTGGCCTGCTTGTGTTTCCCTCTCAGGCCTCCGTCGGGCCTAGTGTGCCGGAACCATGGCCTCGTTCCATCTGGTAAGTGCGGGGTCTGGGTCGGGCCTGCGGCGCGATGAGTCGGTCGCCCTGTGTGCGAGCGGTCGGGACGCGGGGCAGGTGCTGTGTCCCGCTTGTCGGGGTGGGGCGGGGGCTGCGCGCGGCTTGTGAGGGGTGCGGAGCGGTGGGATGGTGCGGGTGCCTAGTCCTTCCTGTCAGGGTGCGGTGGGCCTTGAGTGGGCCGGGTTGAAAGCTGCACAGGTAAACAAAATCAGGTGTGATTGTGTACCGGTAACGGAAGTAACTGGACTGTGTTACTGTTTCACATCGTAATCTCATCCGTGCCTGCTGTTTTTATTTTTTCTCTGATGAGATTGTTCCAGTTTCATTCTTTTCCCGTTTTCTTCAGTCTTCCAAATACTCAGGAATATTGTACGAGTCAGTTTGGATGGTCTGGAAAACCTCGAGTATTAATTTCTCCGTCAAAACAAAGCTAAATCCTCTGTTCTCTTTTATTTGTCAAAATACTATTTTATGTGAAGATTCTAATATTTATGGGACACCTGTTAATGATAAAGCTTTATACAACAAGTCAACCGTATTTTAAGAGGTGACAACTTTGAACGTTTATCGTGGATCGTAACTTGCCACTTTATGTTTCTTGACACACTTGATGTTCATTCCAAGTTTTGTATGATTACTATGCCTTATTTCTGCCCTAAAGAAAATCTTCATTGGTGGTTTCTGTTATAGTGTTTGTGTGTGTGTGTGTGTGTGTGTGTATGTGCTTGAACATGTATGAAAAGACAGTATAGTGTATATTCTGCAAAATCATGTATTTACATTGCACGTGATCAGAGAAAGGAAACATTAAAGCCATAAAGAACAAAACTTAAAAAATGCCCACTGTACATTATCATATACCAGTTAAAATCCTCCAGCTGTTTAGAGGTTTGTACTTCTGACATCTGTGTGTTGTCTATTTAAAAGAAAAATGGAGGGGTGAGCTGGAGATTGTTCTCAGATATTTTTATATACAAGGATTTTCAAGGTAATTTTTTTACCTTAGACATATTTTGTCATATCCAAAGGAACTTTTGTTTTTGCCAGAGTAGACTTGAATTTGGGATGGGGGGGATAGAGAGGATGAGGAGGATGAGGAGAATGGAGAGGATGAGGAGGATGGGGAGGATGGGGAGGATGGGGAGGATAGGAAGGATGGGGAGTGCTCCAGGGCACTTAGTGGGTATGTGTAGGCCAAAATCAAACCAAACCAAACCAAAAAACTATTACACATTTTTTTTTTTGAGAAATACAGTATCATAGTGGAAGAAACTTAAGTTGATATCCATTGAATGGTAAATTGAAGTTGGCAGTTTGTCTTTTTAAATAAATATTTTTTAAATTTCAAGTCAGAGTTAAGGAGCCGTGTTTGTCTTGGTGACCACCTGCTTTTAAATGTGCCTAATTCACTGACATTCCAGTAGGCACTCAGTATTCACGAGCAGGGGCCCTATTTTGCCCTAAAAATTTTCCTGCTTAGCAGAGGAAGAGGGAGCAGTGTACACAGGTTCATGTTTCAAATGTTGCAGTGTGCAAATTTGTGATCCTTCAATTTTACTGAAATTAGAAGTTTTATAAATTAGGGGTCTGGAAACTTGTGTAATTTAAGTCTCAGGATTGGGTTTTATTTCAGCGCCTCAGGTTGAAGTTGATGAATACCAGAAAGAGACCTGAGTATTTGCTTTAAATGTTTCCATCAGATAAACAATAGTGGGACTATTGTAAAAATACCACAGCTATGAGTCTGTCATATAGTGCTGTAAAGTGTTTTCCTGAATTTGTGTCCTAAATTTAATCTTGACACTAAAAGAAAATTCGTAATAAAGCCAAATTGTTAGGTATCTCTTTTCTTTAGTTTGGTCCCTATAGATTCCATCTTTTGGTCTTTAAATATTTTATGAAGATTATGGGCCTTTAAGAATTTTTATTTAATTTTTTTGTCTTATTTATCTGGCATATCTTTTTGCTATTGTTTGGTTTTAGAACAGTGTCTCTTGTAGCCCAGGATCGCTTTGAACAAGAGCTCACTGTGTAGGCAAGGATGGCTTTCAACTCCAGCATCCACTTTCCACATACTGGGGTTATGGGTCTGATAGATCACCATGCCCAACTTTTGGCACACACTCTCTGCCTTGTGTTTTTGAGACAGGGTCTCATGTTTCTCAGGCTGGCCTTAAATTCTGTCCATTCGTTGTAAATGCTGGGATGAAAAGTTTACTACCACCTCATGTTTATGGGTTCTGGGGATCTGACTCAGAGATTGTAGAAAGCTAGGAAAAAGACTCTACCAACTGAACTCCATTCCTGGCACCACTATTTTGTGTGCTAGCATGGCGCATAGTAGAAAAGCACTGGAAAGAAGATAAATTATCTTAAGACAAATCTTTGCCCTGTTTCTTTATGGTTTTTTTTTTATTGATTATTTATTCACTGTACATCGTGGTTGAAGGACCTTCAGAGAAGGGGAAGACCTCACCACTGGGGTACCATCCCTCAATTGGATGTCAAGTGGAAGCAGGACTACATCCTCTCCCACTGAGGCTAGTCCAGCTAGGGGAAGTGGATCCAATGGCAGGCAAGAGAGTCAGAGACAGCCCCAGCTCTAAGTTTTAGGAGACCCACATGAAGACCAAGCTGCACATCTACAAATGTGTAGGGGCCCAAGTCCAGCCCCTACACACTTTTGTCGGTGGTTCAGTCTCAGTGATCCCCCATGGACTCAGGTTAGTGGACTCTACTGTTTAGGTCTTCTTGCAGTGTCTTTGGCCTACCGCCCCCCCCCCCCCCCACGCCACGTCTTCCCCTCCTCCCGTCAGTCCTATCTTCCTCTTTTACACAAGAGACCCTGAGCTCTGCCTGATGTTTGGCTGTGGTCTCTGCATCTGTTTCCATCCGTTGCTGGATAAAGCCACTCAGGAGACAGTTATACTAGGTTCCTGTTGGCAAGCATAGCAGAGTATCAGTAATTGTGTCAGGGATTGTCTCTCTCAAATAGGGTGGTCATTGTTAGGCTGTTCCCTCAATTTCTAGTCCATCACGCCATCTTTATCTCTGCACATCTTGTAGGCAGGGCAAGTGTCAGAAGGTTTTGTGGGTGGGTTGGTGTCCTTATCATTTCCCTGGAGGTCCTACCTGCCTGGCTATAGAAGGTGACCACTTCAGTTTCCATATACCCTACTGTTAGGAGTCTCAGCTAAGGTCACCCCCATAGACTCCAGGGAGTGTTGTGTCCCCCCACTCAAGGTCTCCTGCTAGTCCCAGAGATGCCCCCTGCTTCTTTCTGTTCACTTTGCCAGCCCTCTGCAGCTTCCCCTCTCTAACGCCTGACCCCCACACCTGTTCTCCTCCCCATCCCCCCTCCCACCCAGTTCCTTGCCTCCATCCACCTCTATTAGCTTCCCGCTGAGTGAGTCACAGCTCCTCCCTTGGGCTCTCTTTATTACTTAGTTTATTTGGTCTGTGGATTGTAGCATGGTTATCTTATACTTTATGGCTAATGTCCATTTATGAGTATATACCACGCTTGTCTTTCTGGGTCTAGGTTACCCGACTTAAGATGATATTTTCTAGTTCCATCCATTTGCCTGTAAATTTCATTATGTCTTTGTTTGTAATAGCTGAGTAGTATTCCGTTGTGTAGATGTACCATTTTCTTTATCCGTTCTTCAGTTGAGGTACATCGAGGTTGTTTCCAGTTTCTGGCTATTATGAGTAAAGCTGGTATGGACATAGTTGAGCAAAGGTCCTTGTGGTATGGTGGGACATCATTTGGGTGTACGCCCAGGAGTGGCATATATAGCCGGGTCTTGTAGTAGAATTATTCCCAGTTTTCTGAGAAACCACCAAATTGATTTCCAGAGTACTTGTAATAGTTTTGCACTCCCACCAGCAATGGAAGAGTGTTCCCCTTGCCCCACGTCCTCCCCAGCATGTGCTGTCTCTTGAGGTTTTGACCTTAGCCATTCTGACTGCTGTGAAGTGGAATCTCAGAGTTGTTTTGATTTGCATTTCTCTGATGATTTATGACACTGAACATTTCTTTAAGTGCTACTTGGCCATTAAGAGATTTCTCTGGCCAGACAGTGGTGGCGCACACCTTTAATCCCAGCACTTGGGAGGCAGAAGCAGGTGGATTTCTGAGTTTGAGGCCAGCCTGGTCTACAGAGTGAGTTCCAGGACAGCCAGAACTACACAGAGAAACCCTGTCTCGAAAAACCAAAACCAAAAAAAAAAAAAAAAAGATTTCTCTGTTGAGAATTCTCTGTCTAGCTTTGTTCCTTATTTTTTAAATTGGATTATTTTGTTTGTGTCTAATTTTTTGTTCCTTATTTTTTAAATTGGATTATTTTGTTGGTGTCTAATTTTTCAAGTTCTTTAAATATTTTTGATATTAGTCCTCTGTCAGCTGTAGGGTTGGTGAAGATCCTTTCCCATCCTGTGGGCTGTTATTTTGTCCTGTTGATGATGTCTTTGGCCATGCAGAAGCTTTTCAGTTTCATGAAGTCCTATTTTTTTATTGTGAGGAAGGGAGTGGGGCTGTGAATCTGTGTTTGTTGGCTAGGAGGTTTTTCACCTTTTACATGGATTCTGGGAATCCGACTCAGTGACTGGATAGTGCTTTTACCCACTGGACCATCTATCTCCATGGCCCTAAATGTATTTTTTTTAAATTTTATTTAATCTTTTTTTTTTTTTTTTTTTTTTACAGTCCAGATTTTATCCCCTTCCTGGTCCATCCTCTGACTCTTCCATATCCCATACATCTCTCTGCCACCCCTAACCCCTGTCTCCACCTCACCAGAGCTCCCCACTCCCTGAGGCCTCCAGTTTCTTGAGGGTTAGGTACATCTTCTCTGACTGAGTCCAGACCAGGCAGTCCTCTGCTGTATATGTGTTGGGGACCTCATATCAGCAGGTGTATGCTGCCTGGTTGTTCATTCAGTGTCTGAGAGATCTCGGGAGTCCAGGTTAGTTGAGACTGCTGGTCCTCCTACAGAGTCACCCTCCTCCTCAGCTTCTTCCAGCTTTTCCCTAATTCAACCACAGGGGTCAGCAGCTTCTGTCCACTGGTTGGGTGCAAGTATCTGCATCTGACTCTTTCAGCTGCTTGTTGGGTCTTTTGGAGGGCAGTCATGATAGGTCCCTTTTTGTGAGCACACCATACATAGCCTCAGTAATAGTGTTAGGCCTTGAGGCCTCTCCTTGAGTTGGATCCCAATTTGGGCCTGTCACTGAACCTTCTTTTCCTCAGGCTCCTCTCCAGTTTTGTTCTTGCATTTCTTTTCAGACAGGAGCAATTCTGGGTGCAAGTTTTTGACGATAGGATTCTTTCTGCTGGCTCTCAGGGCTTCAGTCCTGTCCCTCCCCTCCACTCCCAGTACCTGAGCATGTTCCCCCCTCCCCCCCCATCCCCTTTCCCACCCAGGCCTCCCCCCTCCTGCAATTGATTTCTTCTCCCTCCCAAGTGGGACTGAGGAGTCCTCACTTGGGCTCTTCGGCTTGTTGACCTTCTTGAGTTCTGTGGCTTGTATGTGGCGTGTATCCTGGGTATTCTGTAATTTTTTTTCCCTAATATTCACTTATTAGAGAGTATATACCATGCATGTTCTTTTGAGTCTGAGTTGCCTCACTCTGGATGCTATTTTCTAGTTCCATCCAAAATTTACTTTGTATTTTCTTCCTTTCCTAAGCAATTCAGTATGAGTAATACTAAGTGAAACCAAACAGTGTGGGCGTACCTGTCGATGGGAAACTGTAGTGACTCAAAAGCTGGTATGTAGGAGCAAGCATGAGTAGTGTTGACAGGGTAAACCAGCTTACAGTGTCAGGGCATTCAGTGTCGAGAAGGTAGTTTCCATGTGCTAGGGGGCAGCTTATGCAGTCAGAGGAGCTCACCTATGGAAATAGAAGTAATGCACACAGGAGACTTCTTGGTAAGGGGTGAATCCAGTTAGGGAGCAGTGAGTGTTTCAGTGAGAAGCAATCTGGTATGGTATGAGAAGAACATCCATGCAGGACAGTCGGCCAAGCACAGTGAGCAGTGGCTCACACTGGTGGCTGAACATAGTGAGTTGGAATTCTGGTGATGCCACAGGGTGTCTTTACAGGACAGTGGCTTGGAACTAGGAGAGAGACTGAGCAGAGGTAGAGAGGGTGTGGAAGGTGTGACTGGGAAAGCTGCTTTAGCTGATAGGAGTCTGGGATGTGTGCTCTGGTCGCGTAGGGAGACAGTCAGCCTGGAGGACGATCACATGTTCTTTCATACTTTGGAGGAGATGGATAAAAGAAAAGAATGGAGAAAAGAAAGGAATCCATAGACTGAATCCTGTGATTTTAGATTGTAATTATAGGGAGATACAGAGAAATACAGGTGCACACACATCTCTCCCTTGTCTTAGAGGCTGCAGAATAGACTGCAGCTTTCCCCAGACAATGAGCACATGTGACATTGAATTCATTCCTGATTTCTAAGCTAAAATGAAAGAAAACCAAACTTCTCTTTAAAAATTGTGGCTTTCAGGACTGATGTAGCCAACATTACAATTAGCCTAGAGCAAGCAGAATATTTTGCTTTTACTTATATACCAGTGGGTTAAATAAAAGTGGGGCTAAGTGAACAACTGATATTGATAGTGTTTTCATTTTTAAGTGTGTGCTACATCATCTCACTACAGAATCTTTAACTTGAAGGTTTCTGTTGAAGCTCGACTGTTGGACGTCAGAGGGCACACCACCATTTTACTCTCTCGTGTCTCCTGCAGTTTTCACAGTTTTCACAGTCGTCGTTGCCTTTTTATGGTGCAGTGCATTTAGCTTCAGTTTCAGAATTATCTTAATTTTAGGTTATTTTATGATTAACAATTTTTGCTCTTTGATTAGTGTTGATACTATACAACCTGAGATTTTTATTACTTATTTTAAGGACAGGGTTTTGCTATGTGATATGATCACATGTGGCCCAGGCTGACCTCAGACTTACAGTCCTCTTTCACAGGGAATCATGGTCAGCTCCAGTTCAGTTTTAAGACTTGTGCATTTCAGATATCTTTTGAAGGAATTACTTTTCTTATTTTTAATTTTTTTTCATTTTTATCTTTGGCATTAAATTTTCTTGTGGGACATCTTACATTTTAAACATTTATGTCTTGATTTTCCTTTTCTGTTTTAGAGATTTAAATGTCTAGTAATATACAGGTGTTGGTCATATTCTAGACTTAGATATCAGAATACTATTTGCAAGATATACAGCAGTAGGTCATCTGTCTTATGAGTATCCTTGTTAGGTCCAAAGGAAACTTCAGTTCTTCAAACTCCAAAAGGCAGTCCAGATATCCAGAAATGAGTCCAACCTGGACAATAGCAGTATTTCTGGTTGTTAGATTAAAAGCCAGCATTCCTCAGGAACTTCTGAAGCTGGTTTCCTGCTACCAGTTATTTCCCTTATGGCAGAAAGGACACATGGCTATCTGTGGTGCCTATTAGCACAGCAAAGCTCATGCTGGCATCCAGCTCCTCTTAGCATCACAAGTACCTGCTTCATTTCAGTGTCCCTTCTTACTCCCCTTTCTGTTCTAAACTCCTTCCATCTCAAATGCTTCCCTCCCCATATTCTCCTCCTCCTTCTAACCTTGCTAGTCGCTGCTTTTCTCTATCTCGCTCTCTCTGGGTTCTCTCCGTGTCCTCTATTCTCCATCCCTGGCTGTTCCCACTCCCTTGCAGATAGCCTTGTCCAGGTCCAGTCTGCTGGCCATGTTCAGTCCACTTTTTTTCTCTCTCCTCTGGACTCTTCAGAGGTCTCTGGCTGTTCTAAGTCAAACCTACAATAAGAACTTTCCCCTTCACCCTTCCATGGTGTGCCATCAGTTTATACAATGCTTTTAAAAAAAAATAAACTCACCTACCTACTTTTATTAAGACAGAATCTCACTATTTTGCACAGCCCATGCTGGTATCAAAGTTGAGTCTCCACAAGTTCTGGAGTTACAGATGAGTATCCTCTGTGCCTGGGAATTGCTCTATCGCTGTTTGTTTGTCTTCCTCCTTCTGTATTATCTCAAGGTCTTTGTTCTGCATCACTTTGGCTTTTTCTTGGGCAGATGAGTCTCCTTCATTGAGGATCTGTTCTGATCTTATTTAGGTTGCTACTGCTTTTGTTTGATTTCATTATTTATCATGCTTACTCCATTTTCCATCTTTCAGAAAATGTAGTTTCAGTCAGTGTAATTTAGATATATACCTCTAAAAAGAGTTTCTTTTCTTCCGCCTGAACTCGGGTTCCCGGGGTCAAAGCTTGGATTGTGGGTGACAAGCTCCTTACTAGCCATCTTGCCTGCCTCGAGAATTCTTTATAGTCTTATAATGGACAGTTAACAGATACTTGTTAAATGAGTATATGAAAAATATGTTCTCTTATTAATTCTGTATTTTACTGGAATTATTTTGTAGATGAGTTGTATTTGATTATAGTTTCAAAAATTTGTAAACTTTTCTTTCAGGATCATCTAAAGAACTACCACAGAAGGTTTTGCCGGCCTTCCAGGTAACATGTTTATACTTGAACCTTTACAGTGACATATTTTCATCTTTAGAAAATGGATTTGAAGCTGGGCGGTGGTGGCGCATGCCTTTAATCCCAGCACTTGGGAGGCAGAGGCAGGCGGATTTCTGAGTTTGAGCCCAGTCTGGTCTACAGAGTGAGTTCCAGGACAGCCGGAACTACACAGAGAAACCCTGTCTCGAAAAAAACAACCAACCAAACAAACAAAAAAAAAATGGATTTGAAGATAAAAAAGTTGTTACCTTGGACTGATTAATTTCTATGCCCACTGATTGTTTGATTTTTTTAAAAATATTTTATATAAGAGAGAAATATTAACACAAGTTGTGTAACTTAGTAGAAGCTAGAAAAATTACATAGAATGATGAACAAGAAGCATTGAATACTGAATATGTTCTCTTATTAATTCTGTATTTTACTGGAATTATTTTGTAGATGAGTTGTATTTGATTATAGTTTCAAAAATTTGTAAACTTTGACTGAACAGCACTTAATGGTAATATTAATAAAGTTATTTATTTCAATAAGTTTGGACTGTAAAGAACTTTAATTCTTGTTTGAAAGATGTATGGGCAAAATATTACTTATAATTGGTTAATAAAGTTTATGTTTAAGTTAGTTTATATTATAAAAGTCTTATATGTAATTTAGCTATTAATTTGAAGTGCAGCTAGCCATGTAAGAAATTATATAAAATTTGTGTTTTTGATATTAATGAAACATTTAAAAATTTAGAGTAATTTTAAACAAACGTTTGTCAACACTTTTTAGAGATATGTATCTAAATTACGCTGACTGAAATCCAGATGTCCTTCAGGGAAGTGGTTAAACTCTATGATGTATTCATAGCATAGAATATTATTCAGCAATAATTGAAATGAGCAAGTTCATTCATGCAATAACTTGTCTTACTTCCTAGAGAAGTATACTGAGTAAAAGTCAGTGCAAAATATTTCATATACACAGTTCCATTTCTATGGATGCTTATTTCTTTAATGACAGAAATTTAGAAATGAAAGACATAATTGCTGGACATGGGTTAGGAGCGACAGGGTGTGATGAAGAGTGAAGGCAGTTAGAGAGAAGTAGATATATTTCTGAAAGGGCAATAGAGGGTTTCTATGGTTACCAAACCATTCAGTATCCTGTCTCTGGTTGATATTGAACATCTAGAGGTAATACATTGGACAGAGTAACACACACAAGGAAACTGAAATGATCCACGCAAGACAGTTTCTGACAAGCATGTTGATTAAACCAGTTAAAAGTTTTATGGCCACACAACAAGCAGACTCTTGCTTCTGAAAAGTCTCTTGGTGACCAAGCTCTAGGGCGGGGAGGGGCTGGGGAGGGAGACACTGTTTTCAAGACACAACCACAATTACATCATTGCTGGGGGAAAGGGAGTCCACATAGTCAGGGATTTGGGATACCCTAGTAGCATGTGCTTTCTTGCAAAGTATTTTCCAGACACTTCATGACAGTTAATTTTGATTTATATTTCATTGTTGTTATTATTATTTATTTTGTCAGACAAAGTTTCTCTGTGCAGCTCTGGCTGTCCTCAAGCTCACTCTGTAGACCAGGCTGGCTTCTACCTCCCAAGTGCTGGGATAAAAGGTGTGCGCCACCACTGCCCGGCTTTAATTTTAGTTTTAAGCTTCTACAAAAATCAGTCATTGCATTTAATATGTCTGGATGACAGTCAGGGTCATGGACAGTCCCAGGATTTATGCTAAGGTGGATGTGGCTACTGGGGATTTGGAAGACTGAGAAGAGTCTAGGCAGGCAGACAGTAAAGTTGGGACAGGGTATTACGTTAGTCATCTCTAAACATAAACACATGAGTGGGTATGCATAGAACCAGAAAAACATGAGTAAATATGTATATGGTAATATTAAATCAATATATTTAATTTAAGCTATTTGTATTCATTCGTAAATTGCTAATTCATTAAAAATTAATGCTATTGAATGCAGAGTGTACTTGAAAGGTTGCAGAGAAGATCTGTTACTTAGAGATGTTGAGATCCGTGTCTGTAAAGGCGTCATTAAAGAAGCACGCATGCCTGTAACTGCAGCTCAGTGGTAGACAGACTGCCTAGAATGCCAGAGGTCCTGGGTTCAGTTCCCAAAACAAAAGCAAAACATTCAGACCAATTCAGGTTCTTCAAAAACAGGAATTGTTATTGAAATATAGCAATTGTTTGCACCAATGTTAGACACAGATACTCAGCTTTGAGTGGATAAGTACTCTCTCTCTTACTATTGCATACAGATAGGATGAGTCGGATGGGCTCTTAGACAGTCGAGTGTCTTGTGTTCAATTGTAGAGATATGTTTTCTTATTTAAGGTTAACATTTTCAAGCAGACAATAATATGAGTGACAAACATCTTACAGAAATAATATATTACCTTTTTCTTTTTTATTAGAGCACCCAACATTCATACAAAGCAAGGCCAGAACATGCTGGAAATCTTAGAAGGTTGTTTTGAAGAACAGAGTAAGACTTCATTTCTTCATGGTCTTTCAGAGATGGTATAGATGACAACAGGAATTTATCACTAGTTAAATGTAGCAGACATGTGTTTAAACCTATAGAACAACTTCTCTATAACTTTGAGTACACATAAACAGTCCTTTCTGTACCTTTTGGTATACTGAGGAAAATATTGATACAGCCACAGGAATGTGTCATCTGTAATTCACACTAGATTCCTATAATCTGGGACTCCATTGATCCATACTTTTCACAAAAGAAAATATTTCCCTGGTGTGAAAGTCCAAAATCATAAATGCTTTGAAATGCAGAAGTTTCAAAATGAATATTATATAAAAAATGCAGGATTCTATTAAACTTCGTTTATGCACAAAATTACCTTCATTTTTTTGTGTGATGTATGTGAAATGTACATAACCTTTGTGTTTAGACGCAAGAGAAATCTTATGCTGCATATGTAAATATCCCAAAATCTGGAAAAAACAGAAAATTAGAAGCTTATAGATCCAAGCATTTCTATAATGGGAAAAAGTATAATGGAAATAAGTATAGAGTTCTAGGGATCATTTGTTTATTATAAAGTGATGTTGTATTATTACTTCATAATAAAGTAATTACATTTGTTTATTATGAAATGATAAATCAGCACAAAGAGCGTTTTGTGGACCGAGCATGATGAGGGAGTGCAGAGATGGCAGATGCTGTAGTTTTCTGTCATCGCCTACAGTCACGGGCTGGAACATTGGTTTCCAGTGAAGCTATGCTCAGAGATGAGGCCTCTGAGGAGGGAACATAGGCTCTGTCAGTTCTGTTTCCTGCTGGCCTGGCATCAAATAAAGACTCTTGCTAGGTAGTAAACTTCTGGAACCTCTGTTCTTTTTAAATTACTCAGTCTCCTGTATCTATTTTACAAATCTGAGTATGAAACCCAGGGCATTGTGATTAGGCAAACGTCCCATCACCAAGCTACATCCCTAGGTCAGTTTCAGGTCCTTTGTTAGCATAAAAAGCAGGACAGCAGAAAAACAATCTTCATTACAAATGGAAAAGAACTGAAAATTTTTCAGGAATTTAGTTTTCTGTTTCTGATGCTTGTAAGAACATTTGAATATTTCATTGATGTCTCTGTTTCTTTGGGTAAATGTGTTGTGAAGAGTCAACTGATAGTTCTTCACAAGTCCTACCGAGCAGTGGGTCTCACCCTTCCTAATGCTGCAGCCCTTTATGTAAAATCATCTTGTTACTACTTAGCAACTGTAATTTTGCTACTGTTATGAACATAGTGTAAGTATTTGCTGTGCAAAATATCATCTGCTATGTGACCCTAAATGGGATCATGACCCCAGGTTGAGAACCACTGATAGAGAGCCACTTTAATTGTTCAACTAGACTCTTTCAAGAAAGGGTCTCAGTATGTAGATTAGGCTAGGCTTGACTCCACAAAAATCTACCTGGCTCTTCTACCTGAATGCTGAGGGTTTTTTTTTTAAGTTATAGTACAGTTTGCCCAGCTTGTTTTTTTTTCTCCCCTACTCCATACTTATAAGTCTTGTGAATGATTTTTATTACAGATTCTACAGAGTCATTGACTTCTTCAACACCTAAGGATAAAGACAATTATAGTCAATCAGCAAGCGAAGAGGTAAGTCAAACAGGAGAACTGGTGTAGGTTTGGTGCTTTAATGAATGGTGTTTAAACAGTATTCTTATGTACATTTTAGTTGTCTTATTTAAAGAGATGCTTCTGTTGAATTTCATAAATTTGGAGGTATTATAAAATTTTGGTTTGCTATTTTCTAGTATTTAAAATTGGGAATTACAAATACAAAATTACAACAATCATTCTCATTTCTTCTAAACTAATTCTTAGAGTTTTAGGAAATGGACAGTTTTAAGGTTCCTGATCAGATTGACAAGTGAAGTGTTTTCTAAAGACTGGCAGGACAAGTTGCTGTCCACAAAAGCTGTTTTTGGTTGATTATGTGCCTTAAAAGGATAGGTTGATTTGTTATCTAGATGTAGTAAATTTTAGGTAGAGTATTTTTTTCCAAGCACTGTGTTTGAACCCAGGGCCTTGCACATGCCAAACAGAGGTGGGATCACTGAGCCACTCTCCTGCTTACAACGTTTCTGAAGTTAGTCTTCCAAAACACACTATTTGGAAACATAGTACTAATTAGGAAGATCATATCATTCTAGATGTAAAGTTTATTAAAACCTGATAAGTGAACAGTGTTCTACTCTAAGGTGACTTAGAATTTAGGAATACTGCCTATGCTGGCCTTGAGTTCACCATTCTGATTGCTGGTATGTACAGGAATAGCTAGCCTTTGGTTTTAATGAATGTAGAATTTCAGAATTGCAGAGACCTTTTATGAGAAATTACATTGTTCTTTGAAAGTTAAAACCAACTTTAAGATTACCTGAGAACTTGACTTGGTCACTAAATTCTTAAAAAATAAGTTTGTACTTTGACAGTTTTATGCATGTGTATAATGAATTGACTTCCTTGTTCAAATTTAATATTTCAGATGTTTGCATCTGAAAATGTTCTTATAGATATTACTTTTTGAGATTCCTTTTCTAGGTAGAATGAAGTATGTTGTAGTAGTCCAGCAACACCCTACTGTGACAGTTAGTTAAGCATAGTATAAACAAATTATAGTGTAGAGCTTTGAGGATAGTGAAAACAGGTTAATGGTATATAATCTGCAGCTAATTTTCTTCATTCCTTAGCGGGGTGGGGGGGTAGGGAGGGCTTCTTATATGTTTCCTGAGTTAGGGAGGTTGTCCTCTCTAGCTAGTAGATACAGGCATTAGTCTATCTTGTATTTAGCTGAGAGGAGTGTTTCTCCTCAGGCTTGGAAGGTTCTTTTTCTGGCTGTGTTTTGTGTGTGTGTGTGTATGTATATATGAATATATGTATTTATGTATGTGTGTGTGTATGTATGTATGTGTGTGTATATATGTGTGTATGTATTTATGTATGGTGTATATGTGTGTATGTATGTGTGTATATATGTGTGTGTGTATGTATTTAATTCTTAATTAACCTGAGACAGTGTCTCACTTGAGCTTGAACTCATGAGCCTTTTGCCTCAGTCTCCTGAGTGCTGGGGTGACTGCATACTATTATGCTTAGCTTACAAAAGACTTCTGAGGCAGGGTCTCATGTAGTTTAGATTGACTTTGAAGTTTCCGTCCACCCAAGGATGATCTAGAACCCCTGATCTTTCTCCCTCGATTTCCTGAGTATTGTGGTTATAGTTGTACACTAGTAAGCCTGGCTTAGATGTACATTTTAGTGAATTGTTATAGCCGTGATCAAGATAAGATACAGAATATGAAAGGCTAAGATTTTACTCATAGGTTGTTATGGTAGACAGTTGAGAGTTTTGATCATTTTCAAATTTATTCACATAAAGTTGGTAATAGCTCCCTAAAGTGTTTCTAATGCTTTCAAGATCTGTAATGATGTCCTCTTTTACATTCTTGACAGTGGGTATTTCTGCTTTAGCATCGTCCTTCATCAGTGTGCAGGACTACCACAAATCAATTTTATATTATATACATATATATTTTTTCTCCTCCTCTGAACAAAAATTCTAAACAGTGGAGATTTTATATGTATTAAGGTTTTTATCCAGATGGGGACTTTCTAGCTGTAGCCTTCACATAAGAAACCTAATTTAGGAAATTTTTGAGGCAGCTCAGTGGCTTAAGAGCATTTGCCGCTCTGCTTAGAGGCTCTGAGTTCAGTCACAGCATCTTGTCATTGGCTCCCAGCTGCTAATTTAGGCTCCAGGGAGTCTGACCGCCATACTCTCTACGTACACAGGTACAGAGATACACGTGAATAAAGATAAAATCTTCATTTTTTTTGTTATTTTAAAATGCGTATATGTATGTATGTGGGTACAGGTGCCTAAAGAGGCCAGAAATATTGGTTCCTCTTGGAGCTGGAGTTACAGGTGGTTGTGAGTCACTGATGGAGGTGCTGAGACTTAGTCTTGGGTACTGTGGGAAAGTAGTATTTGCTCATAATTGCTGAGCTATCTCTTCAGCCCAGTAAAATAACTCTTAAAGAGACAGAGAGAGGGAGGGAGAGAGGGAAGAGGGAAGGAGGGAGGGGGGAGGGAGAGAGGGAAGAGGAAGGGATGGAAAGAAGGAAAGAGAGGGAGAGAGAGATAGAGAGAGAGAGTTTTTATTTTAGCTATACAGGTAGGACAGGTAGCCAGGTTCATAAGGGGATAGGACATCAAGTCTGGACACATCAATGTACAGGCTCCTGCACTGTCTGAGGAACCATGAATGTTAGGTCTGAAGAATAATATGCATACACACTTAGTTAGCTATCACTTAGTGTACATCAGTAAAATACAGTCATGCATGTTATTTTTTTCTCAAGAAAGACTTTTGATACGAAGTCTGTTTTTATTGTGCTCTGGTTCCATGGACATTGCCTGTTCATCAAACATGATTCCAAAAGGAAATGAAGTGAGTGCTCACTGTAAGTCATTAGGGCAGACTGCCACAGCGGGCTCAGCCTTGCTTCTTGTTAAAGAAGCCTTGTCAGAACAGCTTTGTAGATGCCCAGCAATGGCTTGTCCTTTAAGAGAGCACTTCAAATGGTTAGGTATGCTGTGTTAACACTTTCTTACACAGAGTGAATTCCTAAATATTGGATTGTTTCTTTTTTTTTTTTTTTTTTTACCTTTTTAACTTTACGCTAATGACATTACGTATTTCTATGAACTTGCTTTTTTGTACATATAATCATGTCTGGTATTTTAAATGTTAGAGATATTATGCATTATCCCATAGTTTATTTCCGTTCTGTTCAGTAGTCCCTTGTTGTTCTTTCTTAAGCTACTTTGTTGTTTAGAAATTTCCCTCCAATTTTAAAAGCATGTGTCTAATTAGAGTTGACAATATAATAAAAGTAGGTCAAATGTCTTTCTCCTGTGCTCAGTGCCAAGCATCATATTCAAAATCAGTTCCAGTTTCTTCAAGGAAGAAAGGAGCCTCCCTGCCAGTTTCTGCAGAGCCAGAAACTGAAGCTGCTGCTGGATCAGGTTGGTAGCGTCCACATGTCAGTTAAAAAGCTCCAGGACCAAGGCTGCACAGATTGTGTCTGGATACAAGGTCCTAGTCAGGCTAGGTACTGCTGGTTGTGGTTAGCGGGTGGGGCTTTTCTCCCCTTTGCCTTTTCTTTCGTTTACTTTGGGATAGGTGCTGCTACTTTTTAACATTTTCCTTATCTTTATTTCAAATTAGAAGAGTACTATTTTATTTGAGCTAGTAGACTCACAGATTTACATGAAAAATTTAGTCATTGCTTCCATCATTTTGTTGGGGGAATTCTCGGACCCTTCCATACCTTCACTGGTTCTCATAAATTTAAAAAATACTAGCATGTATGTGACATGGTTGCCCTTTTGGCCATGTCTGTTTCTAACTGATCCCTAGATTATGGACTTAAACATATAGATATATGTTTACATTTTACTTATTATTTGTGTGTATACGGCACTGTGATGTGTGCCATGGCATGCCTGTGGGGGTCAGATGATTACTCTGTGGAGGTGCTTCTCTCCTTCCACAGTCATGGCTTCCAGGGATTGAACGGTGGTCGAGCTTGCTTGGTAAGTGCTGCTAGTTATTGAGCTATTTTGCCAGTCCTAAAATTGCTTTTATTTATTTTTTGAGACAGGATCTTACTATGTAGCTCTGGAACCCACTGTGGAGATTAGGTGGACCTCTAACTCAGAGGTCAGTCTGTCTCTTCTTCTCAAGTACTGGGATTAAAGGTGTTTGCCATCACGATAGCAGAAATTATATTCTAACCATGTAACTCAACACTATTTATTTTAACTGTAAAATGTGTGACTCTCAGTTGTAAGTTGCCTAGTTTCCTAGTTTGGTAATACAGTTTTTTCCCCTAGTACAACATATACAAAATACTAATTTAATTATATTTTAGGGAGCATAGTACATCTGAATTTTATACAGTAAAATCCAGTACAATCTGGATTTTATCTATAAAGTGATATAATATTTCATGCTTGTTTTGTCAGATACATTCATTAATCTTTTCTGAATTTATCACTTTTTTGTCTTGAATCTCTATTAAATTTAATATACTTTTGAACTTTGACCTCATTTGTTTTTTTTACTATGTCAATATAGTGTTAACACTCTAGGTTTATAGGATGTTTGATTCAAAGTCAATATTTTCATTTATTTGGTAGCCACTCACAAAATTTTTCTTTGAACTTACAGTTTTATTCAGTTCCTAACAACGGTTAAAAATTCTTTCTACTATGGCCTTCATGTAGTAATTGTTTTGAGAATCATCAGTTTTGTTTCTGCCTTTTACAATATATCTACATCTATGCCTATAACTAGTACAATATACACACACATATACACACAATGTATCATATTGTATATACATAGTACTATATATTTTACTGTATATATATTAGTATGTATTTACATACACACACACATATGTATAGATATAATGTCCTTCAAGATGCTAAAGTTTGTAGGGCACAACCTAGCATGTCAGGCAGAATGGAGGCTCCATGTTATAGAGCCCATGCTATGTAGCACGGGCAGGAGGTTTCCTTTAGGGCTGTGTTTTGTTGAGATAATATGGGTTCCTTCCTTCCTTTGTGTACTGTTGGTTCTGGGGTTCAGACCTCTACGGTGCCAGGGGCAAATGGGAGGTGAACAGAAAATTCAAGAGACCATGTTATGGATTGTTCCTTAAATCTACAGTTTTCTAGGCAGTTTCCCTGCTTTCAGGTTTCAGAGCCTTGTTATTGTTGATAGATGGATGGTTCTAAGGAATTTAGTTGAGGAAAATGACATCTCATCACTGAACCAAAAGCCTGTTTTTGTCATATTAGTTTTTTGACTCTTTGTATTTTAGAGCAGCGAGTTACTGTTAATAAAGCAGCGAATTGATAGGCATTTTCCTTTGATATTTGAAGACTGAAGGTGATTTTCTATAAATGTATATCTATTCTGTATATGTGTGTATATGTGTATGTGTGCATATTGGTACATGTATGCACATATGTACTTACATACATGTTATATGTATGCCTATATATGTACGTATGCTGAACTAGGCATGTTAGCTTACTTGCTGTTAGCCTAAACATAGCAGAATCTTATCATTTCTTTCGCTTTTCATTACTTTATCTGTGTACAAGCTTTATATCTCAAGACTTTGGGCATAAATTTAGAAGTTCCTGTGTTTGAGGATTCCAGCCTTTCCATAGCCACCGTTAGGGTGGACCAAGTACGTGTTTCAGCTCACTAGTTTGGTAAATTAAGGTACTTAGTACTCTTAAAGTACTTAGGCATTTTAATCAGAGGGCTTTGAATCTAAACTTAATGAAAAGTTCTCTTGCAAGCTTCTAGTTAAGTTATGGTTGGTTTTTAAAAGTACATTTGATTTGATACTGTTTTAAACTACTGAGAACTATCATATAATCTTGTTTTAGTTCAGAGTAATGAAGTTCATCAGAAAAGTCTGTCTACTGATGCTGTCTCCAAAAGTACACCAAACTCAAACAAGATGTCGAGCAAAAAAATAAAAGGTCACCATGGTGCATCTGTTGATGAATTGTACCTATCTGTTGGCTCCCCTGTGGTTCTTCTGGGTGCAAAAATGTCTGTGTCACAGAAAGCTGTTTCATCTGCTGGCCAAAAGAGAGTGGCTTCTGTCTCAAGGAGTTCAATAGATATGCAGTCTTCAAATAGAGAGATTTCTTTTAAAACCAGGAAAAGGTAATTTTTATTTAAGTAATAATAACTATGCTTATTTTTTATCCTTGTACTAAAAATGTTAATTTAGCCTTTTATGTTGATTTAAAGCAAGGGTTTAAGGGATAACATGAGAAAAAAAACAATACTTTTTTGCTTAGCTTTAGTTTGATTTAGTAGTAAGGAAGGCACTAAAGCACACTTCAGAGAAATTTAGAGGTTAGCTGTTTTATATATATATATGCGAAAGTATTTTCATTGTGGGGCTGGTGAAATGGTTCAGCACTTGGTGTGCAAGTCTGGTAACCAGAGTTCAGTCTCTGAAAGCCATATAAAGATGGAAAGAGGAGCGACTCCACAGAGTTGTCCTCTAACTTCCATGTGCATGCTGTGGTGTGCGCATCTTTATACATCATGTATGCAGACACACAGTAAATAGGACAGAGTTTCCTTTGTGATAATAGTAAGGTTTCTATAATTTCTTTTGTTTAATTAACTTTTTTTAGTTACCTTATAAGATAATGTTCATTGACATTTTTATATATGTATATCATATACATGTATACATACACACACAAACATACATGTATACATGCACGTGTACACACACAAACACACGTGAATTATGTATATAATTGCTCTTATTCTCTCCACCTGATAAGAAATGGTTTATATTTTGTACAAATTATTTGTAATTGCAAGGGTGACTATTAGGTCCTTTCTAGAACAGAGTTATAAACCCAGTTCCATTTTTTTAGAGCTTTCTTTTTTGCTATTAGGATGCAAAAAAAAAAAAATTGGTTATTTAAGGTACTTTGTTACTTGAAGACCTTTGTAATGAGTATAATTTGCCTCATGGGAGAATTTGGCTTACCTTTTTAACTTTCAGGTTAAACTTTGAAGATAAAGTTATTTTGAACACAGCAGAAATAGATAACGATGCATTACAAGCAGAGGATAACATACCCGAGGGACAAGAAGGGACCTCGTCAGAAGTCTCTCGGAAAAGAGACGATCTGAGCTCTGAAGTTCAACCACAGTCTAGAAAGAGTTTTTCAGAATTGTTTTTAGAAACTGTCAAGAGGAAAAGTAAATCCAGGTAAAGTTCTGAAACTGTCCTTATGGATATTTCATCTGTTTCATTCTGTGAACCGTATCTGGGGATTCCCAGTGTTATTTGATAGAGAAATCTTTTTCTTTATTTTTTTATTCAATTATAAAAATTTTATTAGAATTTTATACAATGTGTTTAGATCATTTGTGCCTCCCCCAATTATATGACAACCCAAACTCTTCCCAGATCCACACCTCCTCTTCGGATGCAGATTTGTGGCTTTTTTTTTAAAAACACCTGTCAGGTCTGTTTTGTGCTGCCCATATATCATGGATGTGTGGCCTTCCACTGGAACACAGTTGACTTACTAGGGCTACATTCTTAGAGAAAACTGAGTCTCCCTATGTCAGCAGCTATTAGCTGCTCGTAGCTCCTGGGTTAGGGGTGGGATTTTGTGTTTACCTGGGCTGGCGTGTGTTTGCACAGATCTCATGTATCTTTCAGGGTTCCACACAACAGCCTACTGAGGTGCTCTTAAGTGCTCAGTAGCTTTTCAAGTCTAAAGTTCAAATGCCAACACAAACCTTCCAAAGTCGTGCGGTCGGGCATGTCACAGTAACACTCTGTGACCTGGTACCACTCTCTGATTTAGTTAGGGTTTCTATTGCTGTAATAAAATACCATGACCAAAAGCAACGTGGGGCAGGAAGGGTTTATTTCACTTTTTCTGCACTAATTATAGTCCTTCATGAAGGGAAGTCAGAGTAGGAACCTGGAGGCAATAACAGGAGCAGAGGCAACCGAGGAGTGCCACTTCCTAGCTTGCTGCAAGGTGGCTTGCTCAGCCTGCTTCTTAGGTCATCCAGAACCACCTGCTTAGGGGTGGCACTGCTCACCATGGGCTGGCCCTCCCATATCAATCACTTACTAAGGAAATGTTCCACAGGCTTTCAGCTTATGGAGGCATTTTCTCAATTATGTTTTTTTTTTTTTTTTTTTTTTTTTTTTATTAGATAACAGTAGCTTGAGTTAAGTTGACAAGCAAAAACAAAAGAAAACAAACAAAAAAAAAGCCCTGATAAGACAAACAAACAAAAACCAACCAAGGTAATCACTAAATATGTGAATTGCCTAAGATGTATAAGTGTGTGTTCTTTTATGAATATTTTAGCAAAATTGCCAGGTTATGAGCTGATGAGAGGTAAAGCTGACTATTCTGTAACTGAGTCCATGCAAGTGTGATGATGCTTTTTTAGTACAATAACTTTAGGGCTAGAGGTTCGGGGAAATAGATTGTGTGGCATTGTCTGCTGTGTCATAAGAACTGTCCTTTCCTGGTATTGTCACACTATATTTCTTGTGCTTGTGGTACCCTAGTCTATTCTCAACCATTATTATAACATTGAACTATGTGTGAAAATAAGCATGAGAGTTGAGTCTTAAGATCAAATTTTGTATGGTATAGTTCACTTATATGAATGAATAATTATTATATTTCTTTCATTTGACATCTGTGTATTCGATGCTATTATGGATGGAGTTCTGTTAGATATGGAGAAAAGAAAGAAAACATTCAAGATCAGTTATATTATTGTTCTCTAAAAGTATTAGGTATGATGGTTTATCATATTCAATCTTGTTGTATTTTAGATATGAAGAAATATAGGTATCTGTCCAAATAATTTAATCAAACACATATAGATATGACATGCATTTTCTATAATAAGTAAATACATTTGAGTTATAATTATACAGATGTGAATTTCAAGGTTTTCGTATGTGTATTTAATGAAGGACATTGAAGTAGATGCCCAGCTTTAAATTCCTGTCATCTTCTTATTGGTATAAAATGGAGAGAAGATTAAGGGAAGATTGAGGAGGCATATGAACTAGTTTTTTAAACAGATAGAGATGCTATTTCCTGTATAAAATACTTATTCACTAACAAAGATGAAGCTTCTGTCTCTCTAAGTGTTCATGTTTTGTTTTAGTTTTGTGGTTAGGCACACAGCAGCAGTTCCACCTCCTCCGTCTCCAAACCACATGAAGTTACTAGAAGATGAATTTATTATTGATGGGTCAGATAGAAGTTTTTCAGGTCAACCTTGGGTGACAATACCAAGGAAAGGCAGACATCTGAGCCACCACATGCCATCTCCTGAGAACAGCGCAGTGCCTCAAGGTAAGAAGTCAAGAGAGAAACCTCATAGTTTATCTTCAGTGACTGTGATAAATAACGCACAGACTGATAAGGCTCCCCCAGTAGAAGAAGCTCAGTTCTCTGTTGGAGAAAACCTGGGAACTACTTGGACAAATGAGTTGGAAAACAACTGTGATTCTTCAGAAAATGGAATGTACTCTGACAATGCCAAAAAAGCATCCACACAGAGAAGGACTGTGAAGCGGAAGCCTAACGTGGCTGAAGAGCTCACTATGGGACGTCGTAAAAGTGAAAATGGGACTATGTCAAAAAGTAGCCAAGACAAGTTCCAAATAAATTCAGAAAAAAGTATGGAAGACTGTGAAGAGGTGAGGATTGAGCCTATTCCCAAGAAACACACGCCTGCTCTTGGTAAGTGTTCATAGGAATTCAGAGTATGAGTACTCTTGCATCATTTTATAATCGTTAGTATTTCTCTTAGCTTTGGGAGGTAAGCAACAGAAACCTCCTCTAAAGATTCACCAGCCTTTTGGGAGTTCTTCTTGGGAATCTCTCTAGGTATAGTTCAGGGCAGACTCACTTGATTTTTTTTTTTTTTTTTAAGTTCCTAAGGCAGAAACATACATGGAGAAGTGGAAGACTATAAACAAGCTAATGATATGTCTTCCCCTGCTACTTGGTCATTTTTATGGGGTATGCAGATTGCCATAACTCTACGGATGTGTATAGGATGAAAGTAGAGGAACAGAAAATAAATCTCTACCGAATATTGCTGTAGAGCTTTATAGCTTCATAAATACGACTGGTTAATGAATATACTGTTCTGATATCTTGCTATACTGATTGTGATTTTTCATTGTTATGAATGCTACACACTTAGTAGGTCAAACAACACACTTAAATTTTTTTAAATCTTTTTTTTAATTAAATAAATAGCTTTATTTATTTATTTATTTTGTGTACATGAATACACTCTTGCTGTCTTCAGACACACCAGAAGAGGGCATCAGATCCCATTACAGATGGTTGTGAGCCACCATGTGGTTGCTGGGAATTGAACTCAGGACCTTTGGAAGAGTAGTCAGTGTTTCTAACCACTGAGCCATCTCTCCAGTCCTTTTAAAAAAGTCATACATAGTTCTTTAGGTCAGAAATTTCATGGTACTGAAACAGACTGAAAGATCTTTTTGTAACTCTGTCCTGTCTGGGTGTTTGTGAAAGGTCTGCTCCTTGTTTTTTCTGTCCTATCTACTTACCCATAATCCTAGACTTGGTCCTTCTCCATCATCAAAGCTAGCAATATCTAGTTTCTTCTGTCACTAATTTTTTGCTTCTCCTTCTATCGTCTAATTCCTGCCCAATCACAAGTTTTAAGGATACATGAACTGAGCTGGTAGAGTTAATCCAAAATAACCTCATTTCAAGCTTTAAAATTTAGTCATATTCAATGTCTTCTTCCAAAATAAGATTTCAAAACAATTAAAGTGAAAGGCAGTAATTTCTTGTCTTATTTTTGAGTAGTGATAAGTACAAAGAAACAATGTTTTGTTCTTCAAAAGACCGTCAGCTTAGAGAGCTAGACAGCTCAGTGCTTCCCTTCTGAGAAAAATGACCTGAGTTTGATCCCCAAGCCCCAAGTCAAAAAATTCTAGCTGTTGTGGTTTCATGCATTTGTAATACCAGTGCTAGGGAGGGAGGCAAAGCCAGGCCAGTCCCTGGGGCCTGATGGTCAGCCAGCGCAGCCTCATGCTGAGCTACAGGCAGGAGCTCTCTCAGTAAAATGTAAGGAATACATCAATGAGAAGAGGTGACGTTTAGGGCTGTCCTCTGGTTTGCACACATGTGCACCTATAAGCATGTGCCTGCTTGCATAGCACACATATTCCTCTTTTAGTTTGTGACAAGCAGTGTGCAGTGCTTACACTGAATCGACAGACAATCACAGATCTTAATTGAAAACATGTTCTTTTTTAAAGAAACAGTGGTGAAATAGCTCATCGGATAAGTGTAAGGTGGTTTTGTAGTTGAGTTTTATTTATTTAAAATCTTTTGTGAACTTCTGAAAACTTACATTTTGAATAGTTCTTGTGGTTTTTCTTTATATTAGAAAATAAGAAAAAAAAGAATAGCACCCAAACAGATAAGGAAAAATCTGGAAGGAAATGTTTTTCTAATGGATCCAAGAACAAATTTGTTTCCAAAGAAGTAACTTTGCCTTCCAGGAAAAGTTGTAGAGTTTCTCAGCATCCATCTGACTGGTGGATGGTAAAACCAAATGAAAGTAAGTATTTTTATTTAAATTATCTTTATTGAAGGGTCCCTACAGACATTCTTTATGGGGTTATGTGTGGCTTATTCTCATTATATAGAAAACTTTTACGAAGATAAAGTTAAATTGATTCACTGTTGTCAACTGAAGTGTAAAGTTCTCCAGTGTTCTGTATGTAGACATATGCTGTGGACAAACAAAAGTCAAAAGTCCTTGTGCTCATGAAGATTTACATTCTATGAGAGAAGAGTATATAGATAAAATAATTCACATAATATTAGGTGTCAAAAATCAGATGAAGGGTAAAGTCAAGAAAGACAGCAGGGGTGGATAGGTAAAATTGAGTACTATTTGGTACAAGGTGCTATGAGTGGATAGGTTCCTACAAAGAAAGATGATAAACTAAGAAATTTGGAATTATGGGAAACAGATCTTAAGGATGATTTCTTTTCTGTTGCTGTGACAAAATACTCTGATAAAGTGCAACTTATGAGAAAAAGGATTTCTTTTGGCTTACAGTTCTAGAGGGTAAGGCATGGCACAAGGAGGCTAGCTGCTTAGATTGCATCCACACTCAGGAACCAAAGAAGAAGGAATGCTTGCTGCTGCTTAGAGGACTTTCTCCACTCTGTATCATCCGGGATCCAAGATGGCACCCAGTCAATCAGTGGTGCTACCCACTGGGCGTGGGTGGGTTTGCTTAACTTAGTTAACATTGACACAGTTAAGATAGCCTCCTGTAGGCATGTCCAGACCCATCTCCTAGCGTATTTAGATCTTGTCAAGCTGACAGCACTGACCATTATAATCATGTCAGTAATGCACAGAGCCAGAGAAAAGATTATTTAAGGAAATGTATACTGGAATTAAAAAATCTAGTACATGTCCTGCAAATACAATTGAAAAAAAATTAAAATTAAAAAAAATAAGAATTAAAAAAATATGTGGAGACAAATTTAACTTATGAAATTGGTATGTGTATTTATATATAAATGTAATGATGTTGGTATTTCAGTGAGCCACATCATTTGAACAAACATGCTAATTTTTAATTGTTATCGAATCTTTCAGGTTCTGTTGATGGAAATTCTTCAAAAGAAAATGAATCATCAGTGGTATATCCCAAAAGAAAAAAACAGACCAAGAGAAATCATGTGTCTGAGAATACTAGGAAGAAACCTTTTCCATCAAAAAGACAGAAGACAGAGATCAGCTCAAAAGTACAGAAGTCTTTAAATGTAAAGGGTTCTGGAGGAAGTGTCAGTGCCCATGATGACATTTCTAGTTCCCAGAGGAAGCCATTGAAAAACATTGAGGGAGACCCAACTCAGAAGAGCCTTAATATTTCTAGGTAATTTTTCTTGTATTTACTATCCATATAGCTGTCATTTCTTTTTCTCATTCAGAATTTACTGGTTTGGTTTTGTTATGCAGTATTCAGAGTAAGAGTAAGCATAAAGGACTTTGACAAAGTTGTTCATAAATTCTCTGCAATTAGCTAGATAGCACCTAGGTACAGTACTACTCTGACCTTGTTTCCTCATTTGGGAATTGAAGGTGATAGGTATTTAGTTGTAGATGATGTCATAGGCTGTTTAGATTCATGCTGCTTGGTATCACTTGTTTATTAGTCTCAGCCCAGGTTTGTATTGTTTCTCTGTTTTTTAAATTTGGAGTCTTTATAAACTCCAGATACCTTCCTGAACCTGATTCTAAATCTTACAACTGAACATGATGAACTATGCTTACTATAGCCAGTTTTATATTGCTTGTATAATCATTTGTATATTGTTTCTAGAAGAAAGAACATTTGAAAATAAATTTGAAAACTATAATTTTAAACTTTTTTTCATAGACGTACAAGGAGCTCTAAGTATCAAAAGAGTGTTATAACATCACAGAGTGTTCATTTAAAGTCTCATACTGAGGAATACACAAGCAAGACACCAATGGAGTCTACTTCAGATTCAGAAGTGTGTAAACATTTGGTGTGGGAAGAAAGGTGTGTATACACTGTAGTGATAATACAAGTCACTCACTATACTAGTTAATCCATTTCAGTGCAGCAGTTTACTCCCAAACATCATTTGATTTTTGGTGTTGACTTACAAACATATATTATTTTGTACCTTGTGTGAGCTAGAAATCTGGGCAAGGCTTAGCTAGCTGGGGGTTAGGTTTGGAGGTGTCTTTCTCTTTTGTATCCCTTTGAAGACTTGACTACAACTGGAGGATCCATTTATGTTTCCCATGGTTGTTGGCTGTAGGCTACAATTCCTTGCTGTCTTTTGGTAGTTGATCTTCATTTCTTGTTTTGTGGCATCTGATGTCCTACAGAGCAAATGATCTGAAAGAAGAACGTCACCATAAGGGAAATCAGTGCCTGTTTGTTTGTTTGTTTGTTTTTTGTTTTTACTTTTTCAAGACAGGGTTTCTCTGTGTAGCCCTGGCTGTCCTGGAACTCACTCTGTAGACCAGGCTACCCTCGAACTCAGAAATCCGCCTGCCTCTGCCTCCCAAGTGCTGGGATTAAAGGCGTGCGCCACCACTGCCCGGCCAAATCAATGCCTTTTGATGACTTAAGGTCATCACAAGTCCAGACCACATTCAAGAAAAGGGAAATGAGGTTTTATCTTTTGAAAAGAAGATTGCCAAGGAATTTGTGGATGTATTATTAAAACATCTACTAACTCTGAACAAGTGAGATTAATAATCTTGTTTTGTCTATGAACTGTTAAAACCATTAACAGCGAAAGACTAGCAAATGAGAGCAGCTTGTCCGCTGTCGAAGGGGGACTAGGGCTCTTTCCAGTGTGCGGGGCTATGAGGGGCTGGGATTATCACTCAGAGAAGGCCCTGGCCTTCCTAATAGACCCTAAAGTGGCCTTGAATTTTGCATCCTCCTGCCTCCTGAATGCTAGGCTTATAGGCATGTACTATCAAGCTTAGCTAGACTCTTAAATTCATGGATCTGTTATAAGTTTAGCCAAGTCCAATAGCAACATTCTTTTATAAAAATAAGAGAAACCAGCAAGCATATCCTAATTTTAAAAAGAAACAGACTACAAAAAAATGAAATTAAACATGTAGTAGCTGTCTGTCTGTCTGTCCGTCTGTCCGTCCAACCGTCCGTCCATCTCTTTCTCTTTTATCTCATTTAGGTAGATTTGACTCAATTATGGGATCAAATCATAGTCCTTGTTTTATGCTGCCTAGAAATAGGTGATGACTTTTAATTTCATACGAAAGAAACATGAATAGTTTTAAGACATGATCATGAAATTTAGACATACAGAAATTCATTTTATAAAAGCACAAATTTTATGGTTTGTTTTGTTCTTAAGTGGACCGTCCAGCTTCAAGAATTGTGAAATGCCTAGAAGCAATAATTCTGGAATGAGTGATAAAAAGGACCAGAAGAGTTTGGGTAAGTTATTATTTTCTTACTATCTTGGTTTCTAAGGCACTATGAATATAAAGTATTCTGTGTTTATTTAAGTTTTCAGTAGTAGCTAATATGGATCTACTCGTAACTTAGTCAGGAAGTTGGAAGTTTGTTGAAATGGTCTAGATGGGTAAAGGCACTTGCCTGAGTTGAATTCTTTAGAATCCACATAGTAGAAGGAGAGAATTGATTTCCACAAATTATCCCTCTGCTCTTCAGACATATTCCTTGGCATATGTATTGAATAGCACCTGCAACAGGATGGATGGATGGATGGATGGATGGATGGATGACAGACAATCAGATTGATAAATAGATTGGTTAAGTTGATAAGGAAATACTTAAAAGCAACAGTAACTACATGTTGATGGCTACTGAAGATAGGTGGTCAATGTATTGAGTTCATTATACTGTTTTCCTCTATTGTATATATGTTTGTAGGTTTTCATGCCTTAATACAGTTTTACAGTTTTATTTGTTTTGTTTTTTGGTGCTTGAATATAATGTTATACTATCTTTTTTATTGCTAATACACTATTTTTTTTTACTGTTTTTACATTTATATCTTTCTTTTTAAACTTTAACACTAATGGAGGAGTGCAGGAAACAGAAGCTTAGATTTGAGCATGGCAAGCTTGGTAGTATTATGACCATCTGCATCTGTGGGTCGTGATCTCTTAAGCACTAGTAGAGGTGACATGTTCACTGCAACAGTGTTTGTTGGCTTCCTTCGTAGTCTATAGAATCCTTGTTGTACACCTTGGATAAAGATAGAGTTTTGTCCTTTCTTCTAGATGTTTCAACTTAATGGAGTGTTTTTTTAAAAGTATTTGCTTATAGTATTCTTAATTCTTTGGGGTCTGTTATAATGTTTTCCATTCACGAGCAATGGAGAATGCTACTTGGCTTTTGTTAATCTTAATGGTTGTGCTCTTTAAATATGTTTATTATATCAAAGTGAAATGAGATGTTATACTGTTTTTTCTGTAGGTTGTATTGTTTCTCAATGAAAAATTAAAGTATAAGTTAAATTTTCCTGTTTACATCTTATTTATAGTTCTTACTAAAGTTGGCCAGATGCTACCTTAAGTCAGTAGAGAATTAGCAGGCATGTTGCATTGTTTATAATGCTATCTCTTGTATTTTGCAGGTTTGAAAACAAGAGGTTCTAATATGATACCAGATAGGAATTTACATCACAAATTAGGTAAAATAATTTATTCTTAACAATATTTCCATTGAAAAAGTAGTACTACTCAATCTCTCTAGAAATATAATTTGTTTAAGCAAGGAAAATCTATCCAGATTACTATTACATATTTAGTTCTCAGCATTTCATAATAAGTCATCATAACCCACTGAGTTACTATTCTGTTGTTTATTTGCAAGTCCTCTAGTCCCTTACTTTCCTCTGTTCTTTGATGCCACCCAAGTGCAGAAGCTAGTGGGGTTAACTGCCAGACAGACTGTCCGCAAGAGCTGCTCTCCCAGTTTCCTATAGTTCACTCCTGTCCCAACAGCTTGAGTGCTAAGTAGCAAATGAGGGAACTGTGTGTTAAAATTCCACAGATTATCAAAAGATGCTTGTCAGTCGTAATCCATGGGATCGCCCACCTGAGTGTGATGCAGAGCCTTTGTGTTTTATAGAAAGCCCACTGTATAAGACATCACCCTGCCACAGTTGACATAGTGTATTTAAAGGTTGATAATTTTTCTGTCTTCATCTATTTATTGTGCTATTATATGTCATATTCATCAGCTTTGACTATGACTTCCACTTTGTCTAATATTAAAGGAGAACTAGCTTTCTATTTTCATTAACCTGCTAAATCCCTTGACAATAGTTTTTAAATATGATTTTATTTATTTATTTTTTAGGGTGCTAGTGATTACCTCAGGGTCTTTAAAATTCTATGCATTGATTCCAACCTCTAAGCTACATTCCTTTTTTTTTTTTTTTTGGAGACAGGGTTTCTCTGTGTAGCCCTGGCTGTCTTGGAACTCACTCTGTAGACCAGGCTGGCCTCCCAAGTGCTTGGATTAAAGGTGTGCACCACCACTGCCCAGCTAAGCTACATTCCTCACCTGCAATCTTTCATTTGAAAGCTTATAAGCACAGATCACTGTACTATACTATTTAGTCATATTCAGTAGCCTCTAGTTCCTTCAGTAGAGGAATTCAGTCTATACAAATGATTTCAGATAACAACATGTTTTCTTTTTCCTCAACAAGTATTTTAATTTCCATCAGAAACTGGTTTTCTTTGTTTTTGCTAGATGAGTTGAATGACCATTTCTTTTCTCCCTTCTGTTTTGGCCATTTAAAAAATGTGCCATGCTTTCCCCTTCAAACACTGGGTACCCTAGCATCTGACATTTACATACCAAACTCTCTTCCTTCTATGATCATATCAAAATGATATCCTTTAGGACTAGATGTGTATCTCAGTAGTGTAGAGTGCTTACCTGATACTATACCCAAGGTTATCTCTTAACACCTCCTTTAAAACAAAACAAATTTAGAAACACAAGAAAGAAAAATAATCCTTACCAAGCTATTCAATCTTTTCTATTTTCCCTCTTGATAAAAATAAAGTATGTCGATTAATTTTATTTTTTGTTTAGCCTATTCTAAGTTTTATTAAGACAATACATATTACAGTATATTATCAAATCTCTGTCTTATCATTTATAAGATTCTAGTCACATACACACTACATGGTACACAAATTCTAATGAGCAGTGAGTCATGCGCTAGAGTGTAGTCGAAACTTAGAGTTCTTCCAGTCACTAGACTTGCTAAGTAATGTCCGTGAGTTGGATAAAGACAAGCATTTCATGTTTCCTCTCCTATGTAGGATCTAAACTTTTATTACAGAGGGATAAACTAGGAAGAGCTAGGGGTAAGAACATGAGAGGAAGAAGGACAAGAGAGGATGTTGTATGGATTTGACCAAGGTCCATTATATACAAGTGTGACCATGCCATGCTGAAGGCCATTATTTTTGAAAAACATATGCTAATCAAAATGTTAATTTTTTTCTTAATTTAATTTTTTTCATATATTTTAATCATATTCTTTATTCTGCCCCAGCAGTTCCCAGATCCTCTCCACTTTCCAACCTACTCATGTCATCTCTTTCTCAAAAATAAGAGAAAGAAAAGGAAAAACAATTTAAAAAAAAATAAAGAAAAGAAAAATGACCAAAAAAAAAAAAAGTAGCAAAAAATCACAGAGTTCATTTTCTGTTGACCAGCAATTCCTGTCCATGATGGACTCTGCCCTGGAATGTGACACTCCATTGGAGAAAAAGACTTTTCCCTTCCCAGCAAATACTAGTTGCAAATAGCTTCTTGGTTAGGGATGAGATTTATGTATTTCTTTCTCCTTCCTGTTTGAGTGTTTGTCTGGTTTGAACCTATGCAGGCCTTGTGTGCTCTTTCACAGCCTTTGTGAGTTCGTATGTCCATTAGTCCTGGAGGATACTGATTCACTGGAGTCTACCAACACCTCTGACTTCTACATTCTTTATGATCATAGGTCCCTGAGCCTTCAGAGGAGGGCTTTGATAAAGACATCCCCATTTATTTATGGGTGAGTGTTTCACCCTCTCTCCCTCCCTGCACATTGGCCAGTTGTGGGTCTCTGTTTCTAATTCCTATCTTCTTGGAGAAGAAGCTTATCTGTTGAGAGCTGGGAAATGATCTGATCTGTGGGTAGCAGTGTGTCACTAGGAGTCATTTTATTTCTATGTTCCTTTAGCAGAAAAATTATAGATTTTTTTCTGAAAGGCCTGTGACCTTTCTATGCTCTGGCTCTTGTCTACTTTAGTGGTGTCAGGTATGGGTATCATCTCATGGAATGAACCTTAAATCCAGTCAAAAAGTAGTTGGTTACTCTCATAACATTTATGCCATGATTGTGTCAGTATATGCTCGAACCAGGCTGCTATTGTAGGTCTCCGGACTTGTAGCTGGGTGGGATCGTGATAACTTCTCTCTGGTAGCATATAAAGAACCTTTTGGCACCATGTGAAGCTCTAGTTCATAATCAGCTTAATTTCTCTTGTGTTTGATGATGTAAGTAAGTTTCATCTTCAGTATTTATCTTCAGCAATAGGGCCTTACCAACCGAGGTTATAGAGAGTAACCAATAGCCTTGGCCATAACTTGTAGTGTTTGGGAGGTGGGCTTGGTATGGGACTCCTTTGGCCAATGACTCAACAAGATGTAACCCATTCCTAGCACTGGAGAGTTCGAGTTTAGTTGGTGGTGTATGGTGTCCAGTTGAGGTATTGTTTCCCCCATTATATGATGACTCTATTTAAGTTCCTTTAATTTTGTGTATATATTTTAAGAAGCTTATAAAACAGTAAGTTTCCCTATGGGTTTTTGAAAGGCTGTGTTAGATGTCCTTCCAAAAATTTCCTCTCATCTCCCAACCCCCATTTAATCTTCTTAGTCTGATTTCCCCTTTATCTCTTTATAACCTGTATTCTGGTACCCATTCCTTGGGAGAGCCCCTCCTTCTCTGTTCTCTTACTAGGTGTCTTAGGGTTTTCTTGCTGTGAACAGACACTATGACCAAGGCAACTCTTATAAGGACAACATTTAATTGGGGCTGGCTTACAGGTTCAGTCCATTATCATCAAGGCAGGAACATGGTAGTATCTAGGTAGGCATGGTGCAGGAGGAGCTAACAAATCTTCATCTGAAGGCTGCTAGCAGAATACTGACTTCTAGGAGGTTAAGATGAGGGTCTTTAAAGTCCACATCCAAATTAGCAACAGGCCTGTCATACATGTATACTAACACCAAGTCTTGGGTCTCAGTGGAAAAACATTGAAACAGATGGCCATAAGCTAATGTAAACAGGCAGCTTTTGTGGAAATCTACAAGCTTGAGTAGTCATAGACCTTGTAAATAGCCTTGGCAGACAATACCAACTTAGATAAGGACAAGCGAGTCATAGGCAGAGTCATAGTGACTTGTCCCCTGAACCTTCACCCAGCGGATTCCTGGTTCTGAAAGATATCTGTATTTCCCCTGAACACCCATACTCCAGTGTCATTCCCTTCCCCACATCCTGCCTTTCTGTGTTTATAACCCCTGTGTGAATGAATTACGATTTGAGAAAAAATAAATTATAAAAAATAAATAAATAAATAAATAAATAAATAAATAAATAAAATAAAGTCCACATCCACTGTGACACAGCTACTCCAACAAGGCCACACCTCCAAGTAGTGTCACTCCCTGAGCGGAGTGTATTCAAATCCTGACACTAGGTATCTAACCTCTGCAGTTATTTGGATTGAATCATATCTGTGGGAAGCTAACAACCATATAAGAGAAAACACACAATATTTGTTTATTTGGGTCTAAGTTACCTCATTCAGCATGGTTATTTCTAGCTTTATGTGTTTACTTGCAACTTCCATTTTTCTTAACAGCTGAATAATATCACATTATAAACATGCCACATTTTTATTACCTGTATATCAGCTGATGGACATCTCAGCTGCTTCTAATTTCTGGCTGTTAAGAAAAGAAAAGCAATGACATGGACGAGCAAGTGTCTCTGTAGTGGGATATAGTTCTCGGGACTATAGCTAGGAGTGGTATGGCTGGGTCAAGAACTTCCTTCCTGATTTTCATAGTGGCTGTATAGCTTTGCACTCCCACCAGCAATAGATGAGGGTCCCCCTCTCTCCACATCCATGCCAGCATGTAATGTTTTATTGATCTTGGCCATTCTAACTGGAGTTAAGGTGAAATCTCAAAGTAATTTTAATTCGCATTTTCCAGATAGTTAAATTTCTCTGCCATTTGTGTTTCATCATTTGAGAATTTCTTTTAGTTGTATTTTTAAACTCAATTTTTAAAATTGGGTTAATTTGTTTTCTTAATGTTCAGGTTTTTTTCTTAATGTATTCTACATATGAATCCACAATCAGATGTATAACTGATAAAGATTTTTTTACCCTATTCTGTTAACTGCCGATGTGCTTAAACTATTGTGCCTTATGCCATATAGAAGTTTTTTGGTTTCATGAGAACTTATTTATTAATTGTTGGGCTTTGGCTTAGCTGCTGTTCTACTGTTGTGATGAAACACCGTGACCGAAGCAACTCATAAAAGGAAGCATTTCTCTGGGGGCTTGCTTGCTTACAGTTAAAAGGAATAGTTCATTTCTGTTATGGTGGGGAGCATGAGAACAAGCAGGCCCAAGAATGGTGCTGGAGCAGTAGCTGAGAGAATACATCCTGATTCAGAGGCTGTAGGCAGAGAGAGGACAAGACTGGGCCTGGCATGGGCTTTTGCAATCTCAAAGCTCAGTCTCCAGTGACACACTTACCTCCAACAAGTCTCTATCTTCTAATCCTTTCTAAACAATTGGGAACAGAACATTCAAATATATGAGCTTTTGAGGGCCATTCTCATTTAAACTACCACAGTCTTAGTCGTTGTGCTTTGATGTCCTGTTCAGAAAATCTTCTGTGCCAATGAGTTCAAGCCTGTTTCTCACTTTCTCTACCAGATTCAGAGTATCTGCTGTTACACTGAGGTCTTTGATACATTCGAAGTTGAGTTTTATTGCAGGGAAAGATCTATTTTCATTGTACATGTAGCTGTCCACGTTGCTGTCTTTTTTCCATTGTGTATTTTTGGCTTGTCAAAATCATGTGATTGAAGGTGAGTGGAATGATGACTGCGTCTTCAGTGTGATTACATTGATCAGTGTTTCTGTTGTTATACCAGTACCATGCTGTCTGTATCACTGTAGCACTGTACAGTACTATGTGAAGCCTGGAATGGCAATATCTCTAGAAGTTCTTTTATTACTTGAGATTCTTTTAGTTATCCTTTGTGTGTTTGTATTTCCATATGAAATTGGAGAGTATTTAACTCTGTTAAGAATTGTGCTGGAATTTTGAAGGAGATTGCATTGAATCTGCAGATGGCATTTCTAAAGACAGATCTTTTCACAACATTAATGCTACAGGTTCTACAGATTAGCTTGGGAGGTCTTTCTATCTTCTGGTGTCTTTTTTTCTTCAGTGTCTTAAAATTTGTATTAAGTCTTTCACTTGCCTTGTTAATTATACCTTCTCTTCTCCCCTCCCCTCCCCTCCACTCCCCTCCCGGCGGGCCTGGGGGCGCCTCTCCCCGAGCCTCCCCGCTCCCCTCTCCTCCCCTCTC